CAATAGCACACCCCATATCCACCCGAGCTGCATCTATTACAACCTACACTAATTATTTCTCTTCATGATTAGAAACGGCAAACATTTAAAAATTCAGGGCTGCTATCATTGAGTATTGCATTAATCTAAACACAAAAGAAGGTGCTCAGTAACTTAAATGAGATTTCACACTGATATTTACAGTTTATTTCTGTACCCACGCAGCAGAGTAATGTTTCGGTTACATGACCTTCCTCAGAATACCTATCTATATGACTAAGACACAGGGAGGGTAAGAGACAGTATACATGATCCTTGGGATGTCAAGGAATACATCCCAAGCACCATAACGACAACAGCACAGTTTGACAACTTTACATTGGCATCCTCCGACCCTCCACCCCTACCCCAATAAAGCAATTAGGCCTTTTGCTAATGGTTTGACTTCTCAGTTAGTTTCCTCCTGGCGCTGCACTCTCTGATTCTTCCCTTCTGGTACTAAGAGCGTTAAACGTCTACTAGGACATTTAGTTAGATTTCTCAGCTAAGCCATGCAGTGCAAGGCTGGGAGCATCACATGGTAGCTCTCAGCCAATAAACCAACCCCTACACCTCACGTCTAGCTCAGGCAAAGAGCTTCCAGTAGTAGAATAGGCAGGGAATAGTGCCCAATGAACCCAAGGTAAAAAGTTCTAATATAACAGTTTATCTACTTACTGTGGGGGCAGTTTTACAAGGGGTTTTTTGGCACTATAACCTCTACCATGTGCTGTGTAGTTACGGTGCTTTGAGGGTTCCTTTAAAACTCCTCATGAGTTTGAAGCTTAGAAGCAATGAAGTTGAAACACATCAGTAGACTAGAGGATGTGGAACAATGTCTCATACCCATCACTGTCAGTATTATAACTATGTGTAAATAACAGATTCTTTAAAAAGTGGCCCATGTTCATTTCTCAACCTTTACTGCCAAAATAGCATTCTGCTAACTATATTTTATTGGCTTTGTTGGATCACTATGTTGATGCCGCACTGATGAAATAAACTTTGCCATACAGCAAATTAAGCCCACAGTTCAGCAGTAATAACTTCAGTTTAGTGCTCTATACCCAGTGGTGTATACTGGTTTTGTGCTGCCCTATCCCCGCATCCCCCCACCCAACCCTTCCCCCCGCCCCGCCTTCTAAATACACACACACACACATTCACTGACAGATAAGCATACACTAGCTAACAGAAACACACACACTAACAGACACACTCACACTCACTAACAGACAAACACACACTCACTAACAGACACACACTCACTCACTAGCAGACACACACACTCACTGACACACACACTCACAGGCAAACACACTCACACTAACAGACACACACACACACAGTCAGACACACACTCACTCATTAGCAGACACACATACACTCACTAACAGACACACACACACACTCACTAACAGACACACACACTCACAGGTAAACACACTCACACTCACAGACACACACTAACAGACGCACACAGTCAGACCCACACACACTAGCAGACACACACTCACTAGCAGACACACACACACTCACTAACAGACACACACACCCACAGGCAAACACACTCACACTAACAGACACACACACACACACAGTAACAGACACACACACATTAACAGACACACACACACTTACAGACACACTCATACTCACTAACAGACACACACACACACTAAGACACACACACTCACAGGCAAACACACTCACACTAACAGACACACACACTAACAGACGCACACAGTCAGACACTGTCTCAAGGATCCAATACGTCCATATGTCTATGTAGGCCGTTGGGGTAGTATTGGCAGTCATAGTCAGTTCCTTTGTTGTCCTGAGTTCCTCCATTTGGCTGAACCAGGTCATGAGCGGGGGTGTTACGTTTTGTTTCCAGAATTGGGGGAGCACTCGTTTGGTTACATTAAGTATTCGAATGGTTATGGATTTTTTATACTTAGAGTGGGGAACAGAAGTGTGGTGTAGGAGCATTGCTGCCGGTTCCAGGGGGGGCGGTGCGTCTGTGAATTTCTCTAGCATTTTATGTATCCTCTCCCAATATGGTTTGATCATTGCGCAGTCCCACCAGATGTGCTGGGCGGCTGGCGAGGGAGCACTTCCCCTGAGCTGTCTGCTTAGCACCCTTGCTCGCTGCAGAGTGAAGCTGGGAGCCAGAATATGACATCATATTCTGGCTCCCAGCCTCACTCTGCGGCGTGCGAGGGAGCTGAGCAGAGATAGCTCAGGGGAAGTGCTCCCTCGCCAGCCGCCCGCCCGCCTGGCTTGTCAGTTAGCCGCGAGGCTAAGAAGATATTTGCCCTGGGCATTTGGGGGCGGCTTTTTTTGCCGCCCCCGGGAAAATGCCGCCCAAGGCAAATGCCTTGTTTGCCTCGCGGCTAAAACGTCCCTGTCTATACCGTGCATGCTCTGCTTGTTTAAACACTGCCCACAACTCTGGTCACATACACGCAAAGCTACCCCATTTAATAAAAATTTTAATTTCTGTTTATGTATAAAGCAGGAAGAAAATGAGTTAGGGAGGCAAATATGTATTCTTAATGCTATAGTACCCTAGTCACCACCTACGTGACTGGGAAAGCGCTGCCAGAGTTAAAAAATTATATACTTTACTTTTCCCTTCCTTGTATTCTTGGGGAATCTTCGCCTCTTTGGATGAGATTATTGATATTGATTGTTCTCAGTCAACCCAGTGCTTTCCCATAGAAAAGCATTGGAAGACCAGTGAGCATGTGCAGCAAAAGTCATGCTGCACCAATCAGATGGTGTCTCTGAGAACACCTGATTTAAATAGCAGAGTTTTACTCTGCTATTTCTTGGCAGCGCCTCCAGTGCCTGCCAGTATGACGTCCACTAGAGGCAGGATAACCCTACAGTGAAAACATTGCTGTTCCTGCAGTACGGCAATGTTTTCAGCTGCAGTAGTATTATTATTATTATTATTATTGCCATTTATATAGCGCCAACAGATTCCATAGCGCTTTATGAGAGGGGGGATTTAGCTATAAATAGGACAATTACAAGAAAACTTACAGGAACGATAGTTTGAAGAGGACCCTGCTCAAATGAGCTTACTGTATATAGGAGATGGGGTATAAAATATATTAGGACAGGAAATATCAATCAAATAAGGTGGGAGTGAAGCAGAGCTGGAGGAGAGAGTAGAGTTCTGCCCTTTAGGAGAGAGCAAGAGACAGGTATGTGATATAGAGGTTACTCTGGGAGGCCATAAGCTTTCTTAAAGAGGTTTTAAGGCACTTCTTAAAGGATTGAAGGCTAGGGGAGAGTCTGATGGCAGTAGGCAGGCTATTCCATAGGAAGGGAGCAGCCCGCGAGAAGTCCTGCAGCGTGAGTTGGCCGTACAGGTGAGAGTAGCGAACAGGAGAAGGTCACAGGCAGAGCGGAGAGACTGAGAAGGGGCATACCTATGGATCTGTGAAGAGATATAAGAGGGACTAGAATTGTTCAGTGCTTTATATGTATGGGTTAGCACTTTGAATTGACTCCTATAGGATACATGAAGCCAATGTAAGGACTGACAGAGGGGTGAGGTGTGAGAGGACCGATTAAAGAGGAAAATCAGTCTGGCGGCAACATTCATTACAGACTGTAGTGGGACAATACGGCTTTCGGGGAGACCAATCAGGAGAGGGTTACAATAATCCATGCGGGAAATTACTAGAGCATGGACAAGCTCCTTGGTAACATCTTTTGTAAGAAAGGGGCGGATGAGGGCTATGTTTTTAAGTTGGAATCTACAGCATTTGGCTGTGATTAGGTCATTAGTAACTTTGATAAGAGCAGTCTCAGTAGAGTGGAGAGGGTGGAAGCCAGACTGAAGAGGGTCAAGGAGAGAAATGGAATTGAGGAAGCGAGACAAGTATAAAGTAAAGCACGTGGCACCCAAACAACTTAATTGAGATGAAGTGGTCTGGGTGCCAGTAGAGTTCCTTAAAAAAAAAACAATTTAAAAGATTAATCTCTTGGGTGAATTATTGTTGACCCACGAAAATTGTGGTATGTTGATATAGTGGTGGGCTAAGCACAATGATATATAGGCTCCCTTCCCTTCCTATGGAATAGCCTGCCTACCGCCATCAGACTCTCCCTTAGTCTTGCATTTTTTAAGAAGTGCCTTAAGACCCATCTCTTTAGGAAAGCTTATGGCCTCCAAGACTAACCTCTACCTCACATACCTGTCTCTTGCTCTCTCCTAAAGGGCAGCCCATCTTATTTGACTACAAATTCCTGTCCTAATGTGTTTTACACCTCACCTCCTATAGAATGTAAGCTTGTTTGAGCAGGGTCCTCTTCAACCTATTGTTCCTGTAAGTTTTTTTTTGTAATTGTCCTACTTATAGTTAAATCGCCCTCTCATAATATTGTAAAGCGCTACGGAATCTGTTGGCACTATATAAATGGCAATAATAATAATAATAATAGAGACAGCTTGCCTGAAAGATGATTTATACTGTCAGCGCATGGATTGACTTCATCTGGTTTAAAAAGACCTATTTGGTAACTGCCTTTGAGTTGTTCTATTTAACCTGTTTTGTACTCTACATTTACAATACATGTAATTATCACTACATATAACCACTGTTCACAAAAACTGTTCAAGCTTATCATTTTGTAGTAACCTCTGCTGTTATAAAGTCCTCCACAAGGTGTCAGCAAAACCAGTTTAACTGCAAGCCAAGCAATAAAAAAATATTAAAGAGACACTATAGTCACCTGAACAACTTTAGCTGAATGAAGCAGTTTTGGTGTATAGAACATGCCCCTGAAGCCTCACTGCTTAATCCTCTGCCATTTAGGAGTTAAATCCCTTTGTTTATAAACCCTAGTCACACCTCCCTGCATGTGACTTGCACAGCCTTCCATAAACTCTTCCTGTAAAGAGAGCCCTATTTAGGCTTTCTTAATTGCAAGTTCTGTTTAATTAAGATTTTTTTTATCCCCTGCTATGTTAATAGCTTGCTAGACCCTGCAAGAGCCTCCTGTATGTGATTAAAGTTCAATTTAGAGATTGAGATACAATTATTTAAGGTAAATTACATCTGTTTGAAAGTGAAACCAGTTTTTGTTTCATGCAGGCTCTGTCAGTCATAGCCAGGGGAGGTGTGGCTATGGCTGCATAAACAGAAACAAAGTGATTTAACTCCTAAATGACAGTGAACTGAGCAGTGAAATTGCAGGGGAATGATCTATACACTAAAACTGCTTTATTTAGCTAAAGTAATTTAGGTGACTATAGTGTTCCTTTAATATATACTATACTTGGTCCTTCGTATTTTTCTATTTAAGATTTAAAACAGTATGTTGAATAAACACAGCGTGGCTTTTATCATATGCATGCATTCTTGTTGAAAATATATTAACTGACAAAACATTTTGAATAGAAATTTATGAACAGAAACAGAACATCATGTCTTGAAAGCTTTAAGACATGTTTTGCGTCTTCTATTTATACTAACTTCAGAACTCTTGGCAGACATTAGTAAAGGTTTTTTTTTTCTATTCACAATAAAGATCACAGCAACACTGATTTTTTTGTTTATCTCAAAGTTTTTTGTTTTTATTCAATTGCCTCAAAATAAAATATAAATGACCCCAACGTATAATATCAGTACCGTATTGACTTTTCCTTGAGAGTGATTTCACATGTACTATTTTAACAATAAACCTTCCCACATGCTGAATGTTCTGGACTCTGATTGTCTTCATAGTCAAGCATCCAGTAATCATCCACCTATAATTAAGCAGAAAATGCTCTATCACATAGTATAGGTGTATGTCCAGCCAAAGGCACAATTCTCTGCTGGGATGCACGGATGTGTCTTTTTCCAAAAGTATTAATTGGTAGTTTGCAGTATTATGATTGGCAAGCAAATATGGAACTGTGCCAGAACCTATATAAAGTCCACAATCGCGAACTGTCACTTCTCTGGAATTTACCCAACCGATCATCAAGTACACCTTGATAACGTCATAACATGTGTTGACCCTTTTAATGTGATTCTTTGTTTAAATTTGTATTATAGATGTTACCAATGTCATCAAATCCAGTTCAGACAAGGTAAAGTTAGTGCAAATGACGAGGAGAAATAGAAACAGAAATAGAAATAGAAACTTAATTTCTCCTCTTCTCTATCAGGGTTATTCAAAGGGACAGGGTTGTCCAAATGTGTCAAAACTATCCATCTGCATACAGTGTCATTCAAACTGCAAAATCTGGACATTATTCACACTTTGTAACAATGTTGGACCGAATACCTACAGACGGCTGAAATTTGGACCCGAATGCTTCAAATCCAGGCACGGATTTAAAACAAGTCTAAGCTATTTGCCCACTGGCTACCAGTTTAGCTAAAACCCCTCAACACTTCGAGGGATTAGCATGTGGCGACTGGTCAGCGCTTGCTAGTCAGTCACCACATAAAAAAAGTAATAATAATAAAGAAGAAACCTACGGGGGTCAACATAAAGCTCCCTTATGACCCTACCTACCAAGCCGCGAATGGAGGCATATCCACAAAACAGTGAACATCCATTCCTTATATATTTCACTGCAATAAAACACCCATTCTTCTGTTCAGTGATGTCCCATGAGTACAACAACACTCCCATATACAGGTTTTATGGAGTTTCGTTAAGTTTCATGGTCAAATATTGGGCTGCCTAACTCATTCATGTAAATTTGACTGGTTGGTTTGCTAGGCCTATATGACTATTGAGACAGTATAACAACCCAGGAATAAAATGGTGACCATTTCAAAAGTAGGCAACCCAGTGTATTGTAAATGGGGTATTTTGAATTGTTTGGTCTAGCCACTTTATCACAAATACTGGTCACATTTGTGATTTCTCCGCATGTACAAATTCCATTTTCACAGAAAATTTCACAATCACTAACATGTGTTATTGCCATTAAACCTCATTTTTTGAACAATGTCTTATAGATACAACCATGCCTCCATGTACTGGTTTCCAGGTTTTTGGGGGGACGTTACAAGGCCACACGTATTAGATGCCTTTACTTGGAAACGTCACTATTGAAACAGTATGGCATCCTAGGACAGAAAACTACCCCAATGATGACATATCCTTTTCAAATGTAGTCAACCCCGGGTATTCCATATGAAGTATTTTGAGGTGTTTGATGTAGCCACTTATTATTGAATGGGCTTAACATAAACAGGCACAGGACAAGGTCAGGGGATCCATAAATCAGAGTAGTCTATATGACAAGCCAATACATCTGTACAGGCAGCTGATGAAGATTAATCAGAATAAGCCAATGAATACAAAACAATAATGAACCATACATTTAGTCTTTTGACTTTATAGTTTAATTCTGTATGTCAGAAATACAAAGGCAAAGTGGAGGTGGGCAGGAAGGGTAATAGTATGTAGAGTCCCTCCTAACTCGTTTGTAACAGACGTTTTCTGGGGTGACTTTTTGCAGGCTGTGTGGGGATTCTACAAGGAAAGTACGATTAAGGGGGAGAGGAGACTAAATAAAATATATGATAAAAGATTTAGGGTGCATTCCAGGAAAGTATATGGCTTCCTTGTGACTGCCTTTTTTTTACAGCACATATGAATTGCAGACCGCAGTTTGAGTTAGGTATGTGGCAAGTTTTTTGTACCAGGTTGTTATTTTGTGGCAAACCAGATATGGGTGAATGCAAATCTACTCCCTTTGTATATATTTGTTGTACACAATAATGCCCTTTGGTTTTTCTATTTGTGAATCACTTCATCCTGGTTGACACTGGCACTGTACTTTTATCATGAGGTGTATGTACCTGTCTCTTTTGTCTGTTTACTGTCTGTTTACTGAAGGGCCAGTGCAAAGCTGTTGTTGTGCCTTTACCGTTTTTGCCATATGTCGCTTTTGGGAGAAACCTTTATAATGCTTCTATATTGTGCCATAGTTTATGGTGTGAAAATGGTGAAAATACCATACCTTAAAGGACCACTATAGTGCCAGGAAAACATACTCGTCCCGCTGGGCTCTGGGGAGAGGAAGGGGTTAAAATCTTACCTTTCTCCAGCGCCGGGCGAGGAGCTTTCCTCCTCCTCTCCTCCTTCCTAGCGACGTCATCGGCTGAATGCGCATGCGCGGCAGGAGCCGCGCGCGCATTCAGCCAGTTCATAGGAAAGCATTTACAATGCTTTCCTATGGACACTGGCGTCTTCTCACTGTGATTTTCACAGTGAGAAGCACGCAAGCGCCTCTAGCGGCTGTCAATGAGACAGCCACTAGAGGCTCTAGAGGCTGGATTAACCCTCAGTGTAAACATAGCAGTTTCTCTGAAACTGCTATGTTTATAAAAAAAAAGGGTTAACCCTAGCTGGACCAGGCACCCAGACCACTTCATTAAGCTGAAGTGGTCTAGGTGCCTATAGTGGTCCTTTAATGTAATAATTCTCAACCCATAAGTGACATATGTGTTTGTTTAATAGCTTTTTTTTTTTTTATTCCAACAGCCAGTGTTAGTGACCAAAACCCTCATGATTTCAGTGAGGTCAGTGGGGTGTTGTGACTCAAGATTTACAGTGAGATATTGTCGGGCATATCAATTGGTTTCAGTAGCCAATGCTGTCAGTCATGAAAAAGTTTTAATAATTTACTGCTACATAAACATCAATCCTGGTTGTGATGCCTGGAGTTGCCAAAAATTGGGTTATTTCAGGGGCAGTTAATTTTGTAAGCTTACCCAGTTTTCCTCAGACACAGTGGGCATTCTGAGCACCTCCTTGTAGACGGTGTTTAAATTCCAAAGAACTTTCCCACGCTGTGTAAAACGACAGAGCACTGTGATTGGATGGATTTCAAGCCACCCAATCAGAGTGCTCTGTGTCATTTTACACAGCGTGGGAAAGTTCTTTGGAATTTTCCCACGCTGTGCAAAATGTCAAAGAGCACTCTGATCGGCTTAAACCAATCAGAGTGTTCCTAGCCTAATTGCAGGGCTGGGCAAGGCTTTATAAGCCTTCCCCTGCCCTGCAGAGCTCAGTCTGCGCGGAGCCTTCCATGGGTGAAGATGGATTCATTTTTTAGCGTCGGGTTTTTTCCTTTTCATCTGGATTTTTTTTTTGCGCTCTGGTTTTTTATTTTATCTTAAGTTCGACGGGTATGATGGCTTTTTATTTGGCCTTTTTTATGATTTTAGAAAAAAGAAGACGTCAAATGGTAAGTTTAATTTTTGTTTACAGGTTAGTTATTTTATCCCCCCTCACTATTTTTAGGGTGAGAGGGATAGGTAGGAGATAGTTTTATTTGGGTGGGGGGAGTGACTAGGGGCTTGGGACCCCTAGTCATCTTGATTGGGGGGGTGAATTTTTATTTAGGGTCCCCTCCCTTACTGTTTCTTAGGGCCCCCACCCACCGCTTAGGGGTGGGGGCCAGGGCGGGATGACAGTAGGTCCCCCCCTTATTGTTTTTTAGGGCCCCCTCCCACCCACCGCTCAGGAGTCGGGGCTGGGGGGAGGACAGTAGGTCCCCCCCACCATTCTTATATAGGGCCCCCACCCACAACTCAGGGGTGGGGGCCAGGGGGGGAGGACAGTAGGTGCCCACCCTTATTGTTTTTTTAGAGACCCCACCCACCGCTCAGTGGTAGGGGCCAGGGGGGAGGAGAGTAGGTCCCCCCCCTTATTGTTTTTTAGGGTCCCCACCCACCGCTCAGGGGTGGGGCCAAGGGGGGAGGATAGTAGGTCCCCCCCTTATTGTTTTTTAGGGCCCCCACCCACCCACCGCTCAGGGGTCGGGGCCGGGGGTGAGGACAGTAGTTCCCCCCCCCACCATTCTTATATAGGGCCCCCACCCACTGCTCAGGGGTGGGGGCCGGGTGGGAGGACAGTAGGTCCCCCTCCTTATTATTATTTAGTATTTGAGCAGCCACAGGATTTTAATCTCCCTTATGCTATTATGGGGGTCATATTGACCCCCATAGAGTGAGGAGGGACCTGGGGGGCTTATGAAGTGGTGGGGAGCACTGCCTGCTGCTTCTATCTTTACATATTACAAGGAGGGAGCTGTGTGCCGGTAGCTCCCTCCTTGTAATAAACTGAACGAACAAACGAACACTGATACTCAGTGTTTGTTTGTTCGTCTGACAATGCTATTCATTCATTCAGCTTTCTGATGAATGAATGAATAGATGAAATTCCCGTTCGCATGCCCAAGTGTTTCACTGAGCATGTGCGGGAATCTCACAGCGCTATCTAGTGTGGGCA